GGAGGGAGTGGGGAAAAAGCTTTTTCTACTCTTCAGCCACAGTCGAGAAAAACAAAAAAAAGCTAGATGGAATTAAAACTGGATTGTTTAGGTTTTATAGCTATACACTTATAGCTACTTAAAACCCAGGCATAAACACAATATGCTTCCACCAGAAAGCAGCTCAACAAATAAGACATGGGAGACTGGGAGCTTGGGGGACGGTCTGATGGTTCAGGAAATCCGGGAGGGTAGGTCACCTCAAGTCACAGGCTGGGCCGGGTGGGAAATGCTGGCCAAGCCCTCAGCTCCTAACCAACCCCAGCGCAAATCTAGGTGGAAGGCAAGGCCCACTCTCCATGACTAACCTCCCAGGGGTTAAATGCTTTGTGCAAAATGGAGACTGCCAAAAACTCACCAGGGAAATTTTACTGATGAATTTTCATCCAGATTACTGCAGTGGCCTATTTAGACCTTAAATCAGGGTTTTGAGATGTGATAATTCCTTGCGGGGGAGGGGGCGCCATCCTGTGTATTGTAGAATGTTTACCAGCATTATCCCTGGTCTCCACACACTAGATTTCAGTTAGCATCACCCCCTCCCCCAGTTATGATAAAAATGTCTCCAGACATTACCAAATGTCCCCTGGGGGCAGAAGTACACACGCCTTCCCCTACCCCCCACCCACACAACTGCCTTAAACTAAGAGGCTTCCTAGTTGTGGAAGTAGGGGAGGCCTGGTTTGAATCCCAAGTACGCCACTTATAAAGTGCAGAAGCTATTGGGCCTGTTTATTCATCCCCATCAAATGGGGTAACAGGCCTACCATAGCGAGGTTATGAGGATTACATAAAATAACCTGTAACGCACTTGGGCAATTAGCACCAGAGGCGATTAATAAATGCTGGCTTTTGTTTTCAAAGAGGCATTTTGGAAACCTACTCCATCTAAAAGGAATCTACAATATACACACTCTGTGGTCCCAGTTCTCTCTCTAGCCTAGGGGGTCTTAGCCTGAGAGTCCATGGACACTCAAGGGGCCAGTGGATACAATTCAGGGGGTCCGGGAACTTGGATGGGAAAAAAATTATATCCTTAGTTCCAGTAATTGAAATTCAGCATTTTCTTTCATTTTGATTGTAGGCCACAAGCCATGTATCGCTGCCGTCTAGTTGGCTCCGACTCATGGCAACCTTATGTGTAACAGAATGAAACACTGCCCGGTCCTACGCCAACCATTTTCACGATCGTTGGTACGTCTGAAGCCACTGTTACAGCTATTCTGTCAATTCATTTCATGGAGGGTTTCCCTCATTTTTTGCTGACCTTCTACTTTACCACACATGATGTCCTTTTCTAATTGGTCTTTCCTGATGATGTGTCTAAAATAAGTGTTATGGATTGAATTGTGTTGCTCCCTAAATGTGTTGGAACTGTAACCCCTATACCTGTGGAAAAGGAGCCCTGGTGGCACAACAGTTAAGCGCTCGGCTGCTAACCAAAAGGTTGTTGGTTTGAACCCACCCAGGGCTCCGAGGAAGAAATGACCTGGCGATCTGCTCCCGTAAAGATTACAGCCTAGAAAATTCTATAGGACAGTTCTCCTCTATCATATGGGATCGACAGGAGTAGAAATCTACTCGAGGGCACCTAACAACACCAACATACCTGTGGATCATGTAATCCTATCTGGGACTATGGTTCTTTGTTGTGTTAATGTGGTCATATCAGTGTATGGTGTGTCCCAAACCTAATCACTTCTGGGTTATAAAAAGAGCAGTTTAGATACAGAAGCAAGCACAAATGGGAAAATAAGATACCAAGGAACTGAGGAAGGATGGGGGCTACAGAAGCTGAAAGAGACAATGATCTCTGCCCATCCCCCCATCCCCCCAGAGCCGACAGAGAAAGAAAACCTTTCCCTAGAGCCGGTGCCCTGAATTCAGACTTCCAGCCTCCTGAACTGTGAGAAACTAAATTTCTGTTCTTTAAAGGCACCCCCTTGTGGTATTTGTGTTACAGCAGCACTAGCAAACTAAGACAGTAAGCAAGCCAAAGTCTCACCATTCTCGCTTCTCCATTCAGCCAGCATTTGTCAAATATACACGATACATCAGTGCTGCGTCTAGGACACAGACCCTGGAGGTCCACCTTCAAAAGCTCCCAGGCCAGGGAAAGAGATGAACATAGAAAGAAGGATTCCTAGACCTCGCCTTTGCCCTTGAAAGGTCTAGCTGGCCAGCTAGAGACTGCACCTACAGAGCAGGCGGAAGCTGTGTGCACCTTGCTTACCACTGTGTACCCAGCACTGTGCCTGGAAGACAAGCCTATGGGACATGTTTACTCATGTTATCCTCAGGCTGAGAAATCACAAAATGTTTTCTGGGCTCAGAAAACTCTTCAGAGTCTAAGACTTAACTCACAGACCAAATATAAGATTTTTAGCCAAAAAAAGAAATTTCTGGGTTACCCCATCAGCCAGAATACTAAATAGGCCCAACCCACAACTGCCCTTGGGAGCCCAGGGCTGCTGGTCAGCTTACATTGGTAACAAAGTTATATGGAATTGCAACACAGTAACATAACTAAGTGGTTCCTGTTTAATTCCACTAAAATCACAAAATGGAACTGGAGCATTAGGATTACTCACAAATGGGAAAAAAAAGAACATGAATCCAGGCTCCACAGGCATCTGACTCATTCTTGAGTCATATCCAATACTCACATGCCAAGAGTAATGCCTTTTGACTCATTATTATCAATTAAAATAAATGTTTTTAGAGACCTCACACGTGGATTTCTCACCAAGTGCCCCTTACGAACACCAAAAAGAAATTAAGGTCTCAGTCTAGACAGCTCTTATTTTACAAATGTGGATACAGACTCCAAGGGTGACATGACTCACTCCAAATCAAGTGATGGGGCAATACACTAAGACTCAGAATTCTCTGGCTCCCAGAATACTTTTGTAGGGCACTCAAAATCTAACACAGATGCACATATCCATCCATACACACACACACACACCCACCTCCCTGCTTAATATTAGTACTATTTCTTTCTAAAATGTTCTTCAGCTTGCCATCAAACCTTTCTCATCTTTGATTAAGAATAGACTGGGAATTAAAATAAGAGCTAACGTTTGACTTTTCCCCCTTAAGATTCTTCTGTTCTGCTCTCCACACACATCTTTATCCTCAATCTTTTTTACTTTACTTTCTTTTTGCACAACTAAATAATCTAAATGCCACGTCCACACCTTGCCAACTTAAGACCTGCTAGTTTTTCCTCCTCCTTTCCAAACTGGGTGCCCTCAGTTCTCTCTCTCTCTGACCAGTGTCAGTCTAAGTGTTGAAATTCTCTTGTTTTTTCTTCATACAGTTAAGATTTCCCTCCACTTTTACAACGGAACAAGAGAAGAAGCCCATTATGAGCCAGCATTTCAGGAGGGATCCCCTTAACTAACTGAAGGAAGATTAAGGCTCCGGGCAAGGACACTCAAAGGAGCCCTGGTAACAGCTGACCTAAAGGTCTGGGGGGTTCAAACCCACCAGCGACTGCGGAAAGTGCCAGAAGCTCTGGGCCCCATCCTGAGATGGCCCTCCTTAAAGCCTAGAAGAAAACCCAGGCTCAATAAATATGGGTGCATTCACATGGTGCTTACAGCCGGGGACACTTCCCAGACTCACCCCTACGGCTGGGTGACCCTGAACCACTCCCTCTCCTCACCTCTAAATAGAGTATGCTAAAATCTTCATAACTACCCAGCACTAAAGCTGGCAGGGTAATTACTCAACAAAACCTTAGTTTTCTTATACCCTACCAGCTGTGGGTCCCAAGCACTATTTTTATTTCTATTCTCCCTAGCAGTCTCCCTTCCCTCCATCCTCACCTAAGAAATGAGAACTAAAAAATGCTTTATTTTCTCCAAGTCACTTTCTGACCACCCGAATACACTGAAGTTGATTGACAACCATACAGTGTTTCACAGCCACCCCGTTAATATTAACAGCCCTTTGGGGGTATGCACCGTTTTCCCCCCCTTTACCAACAGGGAAGACGAGGCCACAGGCATAGTCAATCAGGATTCAAACCCAGGTGTCGCTCCAAATCAGTCTTTTTATTAAATCGTGTTCCTTCGGAGATCCTTTAAATTTGGGGGGAGAACATGCAAAATGAGTACTCGGAAGTTCAAAACAAAAAAGAAAGAGAAAAAGATAAAAGAGAAAGTCAAATGTTGAAAAACCATAACTGAAAAGGTTGCTCCAGCTATAAGTAGAGGAAAACAGGGGAAAGTATGCAAGGTACGAGCGAGACACTCCAAGTGGACCATAGTGGAAGCGCAGATTCAAGTCTGCGGGAGTCATAGGTTTAAAAGCCACCAGAAGAAAGACGGGCAGTCCAACCCCTCCCCCACGTTACATGCACCCAGAGAAAAGCCCGCAAAGCCCCTCCCACCGCCCCCACCCCGGTCCTGCTCACGCACACAGTTCCAACTTCCCCAGCCTTCTCGTCTTCGCCAGTTCGCAGTCTTCCGAGCGTCCCCGCTGCGGGGAGTTTTAATTTCCGCGCCCAGATCTCACCTCCACCACCACCACCCCCGCCCCATAATAATCATTTCCTTTTCCTGTCCCTCCTGCCCTTTCCAGGGAATCCGTCTGCTGCGCAGTCGGTTAAGTCTGCAGGGCGGCCCGACCGCGTCCTCCCCCAGGCGGACTCCACGCGGGGCGGCCCACACCCCGGGAGGGAAATTTACCGCCTCTACGACATGAAGAGGTCCAGCAGGC